TTTTATTTGTTTCAAATTATATTCATTAGTTGAGCATGATTGGTTGTAAGTGAAAAAATCTAATGTATTAGATTGACTATTTTAAGTTGAACTGACTTGAAAAAATTATATTAACCCAACTTGAAAAAATGAAGTGTGAAAAAATGAAGTAATTTTTTAAGTTGATCCAATGTTTCATTCTTTACAGTGCTAAGTGAAAAAAATCTAATGTATTAGATTGACTATTTTAAGTTGAACTGACTTGAAAAAATTATATTAACCCAACTTGAAAAAATTAAGTATGAAAAAATGAAGTAATTTTTTAAGTTGATCCAATGTTTCATTTTTTACAGTGCACTGAGTCACCTTAATGGCCCAGCTTTTACACAAAGAAGTTTTATGCTATATGTAGTTGAATAATCATATTTTTACCAAAGACTGTAGTCAACACAATGCAGTGCATTAGTGTTTGGTACAAGAATTCTCATTTTCACTGGGATATAATTATGAGAATTCTTCAATGGCAACAAGGGACACTACTTTTTTCTTCTCTAATGCCCCACTGATATACATATTTAATCACCTTAATCTTAACAATCCCCTTATTTTTTCCCTTTAAACTCAGAGCGTCGATCATCATTTTGAATCTGAGAATTTCACTCAAGAGAGAAACCTTTCTGTAAACATCTCCATTTCTAAAATCACACGATACAACTCCATTGATCCTCACTGGATGGCAATGGCTTTTTACTGAGTATTTTCTTGTGATTATATTATCCCCCACTGGGTGTCATACTGACTCAGTGGCAGACAACCCATCCATCATATCCAGGGGCTCTGGGTACTAATGTGTTTTTGCATAGGTTTTCTGATATTGTTTACTAGTATTATGAAGTCTATTGAGTGTGAATCAACCTTAAGTGTTGTATCCTAATTATATATTTTACCCAAGAAAGACTACAAATAGACCATGTGTGTGTGTGTAGAGGACTGTCACAATATCATATTCTCACTACATGATTATCTTGGTCACGGTAACAGTATTATCATGTTATCTGTAGAAAACAAAATAATAATAAGGCTGCCAAACAAATTCATCTTTAAATTTGTTTATTGTGTTTTGTCTCTTTTTTGGCAAATGAATTATACAAAAAATGCGAGTGTAGTGTTACGTGCCGTAAGTTTCAAGGGGATGCCTACAGGTTCTCCGGACTTCCCTCCCTCGTCGCCATTCGCCGGCTGCATCTTTGCTCCGCCTCCTCATCCAGTCCCTGCCCACGACTCCCCCGATGCGCCGCTCGTCACTTCCGGGACCTGAAAAGAAAAGGCCACCGCTGGAATACTTGAGGAGCTCTGCTCATTTTTGGGTTATTGTTGGTTTGCTTTCTTTGATTTGGACTATTGTGTATGACGGTTTCAGTTTATTGGTTATTATTGATTATTCGCTTTGGCCTTTTCTGTACTTCTGCCTTGATTTGTTTGCTTTTTGGTTTCGATCTCTTGCCGGGTTTTTGGTTTACGTCTTCGCGTGCCCCTCGGATTCTGACGCTTTGCTCTGTGTATGTTCTGTGTGTTTCTTAGGTGCGTAGGGAGTGGTTGCCATATTTATTTTGGGGGTTTTGTGTATGCTGTTGTTTGGTTAGGGAGTGAGGTGTAGTACTTGTTTTTGTTCTTTGATTTCTCTTGCACGTAGTTAAGTTAGATTTCGGTTGCGTTCGGTAGCTGGGCTTCCGGTTTGTTATTTTGGCTATAATCACTCCTGAGTCTTTTTGCACCAGGGGCCTGTACTACGAAGCGGGGTAACTGGCTTATCGGGGTTGCGAGGAACTTGATGACGTGTGGTGTAACTTCACGATTAACCCGTACTACGAAATGTGGGTAGGTTTTAGTCGAGACATGTTGGTATGGCAATTTACGCTAAGTCTCAAAACTGCTCCGAGCAGTTTTTGTTCTTGGTTAAATCGAGGTTTCCGCGTAAGCCAGCCCTATATGAGCACCGCCCCGACCACTACAATTTCTCCGAAGACAATGCCGGTGTTCTGCCATTTTTTGCTGCCTTGCCAGAATTTCCTACCGCAGCAGAAATTGTCAGTTTTATCTGTCAGTTTTTGCTACGTTGCCAAAATTTACTACCCATACTCCTGAATGGACATCTGTATAAGGATTTATGCTATCAAAATAACTTTCCTGTACTTTAGAGGGGGTAGCAGTGTTTTACACTTAGTTTTAAGCTGCCAGAAACTGCTACCTATAGTTTTTAGTGGGGTAGCAGTGTTTTACACTTAGTTTTAAGCTGCCAGAAACTGCTGCCTATAGTTTTTAGTGGGGTAGCGGTTTTTTACACTTAGTTTTAAGCTGCCAGAAACTGCTGCCTATAGTGTTTAATGGGGTAGCAGTTTTTATAAGGAAAATTAATGCCATGATAAGAATGTAATTTCATAAAATAATCATCATTGACGAAGTAGTTATTAACTTCCTATGCCCCATGCATTTCTGCTGGTTTTAACCACATTGTTGGCATTTTATGTGATTAACAAAAAAAAACCAACTTCCTCAGTTTTATAAAAATCTGTGAATGTCTTAAATAAAAAGCAAGCAAGCAGGTTTAAAGAAAAACTGAACAAAGTTTATTTTTCTAAACATTTCTCACAAACATAAGTGGACAAGTGTTTCATGTATTTGGCACATTTGAAATGTGCCCACCTACTGCAGAGGTCACACTGCACCTAAAAGACAGTTAAAGTAATATGTCATCTGAAACAATCAAACAAACCTTTATGACAAATCTTTGGAGAAACGTAATTTTATTAATCTATGTTAAAATATGTGAGGTTAGGACAAGTATTTTATGAGTGTATAATAAAGTGTGTTAACCTTTTGCTCCGTTAAAATATTTTCATTACAAGGATCAGGTATATTTCCAGGAGTTTTCCTTTTCTAAATTCAGTCAATGCTATACTGTTTGGAAATGTTTCTTTTACAAGTTGAGGTGTTAAAGTAGAAACGGAATAATTTGTATGGGAATATGAGTTATTACCATTTCAATGATGCTTTCGTCAGCGTTCCCTTCAAACATAGCGCAAACCACACAGTAGTCCTCTACATTTCCTAGGAGCATACCATTTGAAATAATCTATTCAAAATGAACTGAAATATCCAACTACAGTTCATCAAATTATAGTCCACAACATTTAAAATTGGGTTAAAAGAACATGATTTGGAATAACCCTGAATCACTACACTGTTACTGCACAATATAGTTTTTACTGCAATTCTATTGCCTTGTTGACAATGTAACACAGTATACAACTGACCACAGACTAGGCTACAAACGACACACTTTGTAACCTAAATGATTACTGATACAGATCATATTACCAAAAAATTCACAAAACATACATTTAAGATTATTTCACAACAATTGATACTAGAACAGGATTTGTATGTCCAGTGTAGTTACCATGTTAATATTTTGTGCCTGTTGTGTATTGTCACCATCCCACAAGACCTCTCTCTGAGGGTGTTTCATCTGGTACATCCAGATTCTTAATCATCTTTTCATTTGTAAATGCCAAAATATTACCAATAGTCCTAAACATACCTCGACATTCCAGCAGTGCACATGCAATTTCCATTCGAGATGCGCTCACGGCACTTTGGCTCGTCTTCACAGCACTGATGTGACCCGTTGAAAGGTAATGTTCTGCAAACTGCAAAATTCAGTTGTATTAATATTAATTCAAAATAATAACTGCCCAGTATAAATCAGCAAACGGGTACCTTCAAAATAAGAACTCCGCAACTGCTGGAATCTTGCTGTAGCTCGTGAGGCTGGGTTTGCACTTGCCACATTGCATTGTCCTCAGCACAGTCTCATCTTCAGAAAATTTCTAGATATTGTACATTAAAAACAGGGTATTCAAATCTGGGAACATAAAAAAAAATCATACTAAGAATTAAAGCCTGTGTTTTCTCTCCAATGGTCATTACTGAAATGCATGTAATAACTCTTAACATGTTTTCAATTAAATTACATCGGAGTGACTTGTTTAATAAGAAATATTTCCACAATGTCATATGCCCAGTTACCTCCAATTTCTCAGAACTTTACGTTCATATGCATCTTCCTTTCCCAATGGGTCTACAATGGTAATGGTCTTCTTGGACATGCAGACAATCTTTAAAAAGGCAAATAATGTAATGCACCGACATATTTCATAAGGACACAAATTACATCTAAAACATAACGTAAGCAAACTGGATGAGAAACATTCCAAAGCTCTGCTCATAATGATGTTGTTATAATTGTGATTACTCAATTTTACAAATGTACAAGAACAGAAAACACAAAATCTTTGACACCATACTTGGTATGCCACCCTTACAAAAAGAATCCAGTGTGCTCCAAAATTCACAGGACACAGTCAGGTGTCTTCTATGGGAAACTTCATCTGAGGGATGAGTTGTGTGGCAAGTTAGTGATACTGTAGCTCTGTTATGCAACCACTTAACTTTTGGATTACTTGAATACCTTCAAGAGGCATCGGAACTTTCCAGAAAATAATGAAGTTCACACAGCTGCACACAGGTGGTATACTGGTTTCTGTTAAAAGTTAACACAAAAGTAAGTATGCAAAGAAGCATGCTTGCAATTTCTAGAAGCATTAGTACATCAACAATTATAACTTGCCTGTTGTTTTTTAATGAGATGGTGGATGAATGCATCAATGACCTATAAATGGAAAATGTTAAACAAGTTTAGTCATTACATGGTTCGTAGTTTGTAATGAATGGTATCGCATAACTTTTCCATCACTTCTCAGGACCCTTATTAAATTTTCCAGAATTTCACTTAAAAAGTTTAATTCGAAAAAAAAAAAATCTAATTTTAATATTAACAAAACATAACTACACATTGCTGTTTCACTGACATTGAGAAATATTTTAAGCAATATAGCAAAAATTAAAATTTAGAAAATCTTTCAAAATGTGCGGCTTGCTTTTTTATAAACTTTTGTAAAGGTACTCCTTACATATGTGGAGTGCTAAGTTCCACTAGCCTTAGCTTTCTGGTCTCATGACAGACCTTAAATGAGCATTACTATTAGTAATGTCTAGTCAACAATGCAACAACAATCCTTATGTACTTGCAGAAGTAACAGTTATGGCTAACCAAGATTGATACATACCATCACATACTCGGTTATTGTCAAACAAACATTTGCCCATGTATGCTTCCTGTTTGACATAAATTTCGGTATTGGAACAAATACAGGCTTGGAAAACCAAATTTTTACTTTTAAAGCCTGTATAAAACCTGACTTTAAACACAACAACGCAAGTAATTTTTTCTTTCTTACTTCGTCTGCCAGCCACTCAGTCCCTTGCAGCGTGCGAAAAGAGTGGTCGTACAGCTTATAAGGTCCCACAACTGCTTCGACCTGTCCATGGTCTTTTGAAGCCCAGAGCATGATCACTAAATGATTATGGAAAAATCAGTGTCTTCTAAACACTGCAACATAAAACAACTCAAATGGGCCAACGGGTCAACGTAAAACCAAACAGGGCCAACAGGCCAACGTAAAACCGAACCGGGCCAACGGGCCAACGTAAAACCGAACCGGGCCAACGTAAAACCGAACAGGGCCAACGGACCAATGTAAAACCGAACCGGGCCAACGGGCCAATTTAAAATAATCAGAGTGTACAACAGTGTTCCCCAATTCTGATGCTTAAAAAGGCCTTAAAGGAATAGGGAAATACTGCTGAAAGAATAAATAAGGAAGTTGAGTTGAGTTGATACAAGCTAAGCAGGGGGGTATCATAAATTTTCAATATTATATTTTTGGCTATGTTATTTAACGTGTGTGGATGTATAACTTTAGATGAAGGAATACCATAAGGTAACTCATGCGTGAACCATAGGACATGCATGGTACCATTCAATAAAAATATTAATTATCCTACATATAACAAGTATACTGAATATCACAGCTGGCTGTGCATTGTGAGCAGAAGGCATCCTTTTATGTCCAAGCTTTAGATACTGAAAAACAGGTTGTGATTTATTCTAATTTCTCCAGCCCCTGTTGCTAACTTGTGACCAATAGGTTAGTACAGCAGGTGTGTAACAAACTTGCCAATCCACCTTTATGTAAAGAATGAATTGGCGGAGTAGGCCAAGGTTGTTACAAGTAACCAACAGGTCAGAAGTAGAAATCTGAGTGTGCAACCTTGTTCTTCACAGCTTCTCTCTTGACTGGACGGAATTTCTGGTACAGGCTCTACAGCTTCTGTGGCTGTTGTTACCTCTTTGGAGTCTTCTATGTGTTCTTCGTATTTTGTGGCATATGCAATAACGGATGGTCTTCTTGGGATTGTACTGTCTTGAGGCTGTTGATCATTCTCTTTGACCAAAGGTTGGTGACTCCCAGTGTGCTGGGCATGAGGCGTGCTGAAACTTTTATTACTTTTAGCTGGCAGATTTGTTGAACTATCAGATCGGTCTTTGTCCGTGCTTCTTCTGTATGGCTTAAGGTGACTTATGTTGTATTTTGTTTTCAGTGTAAATCCTTCTTGGTTTTTTAATGTAACCAATTTGCCACACAAAGTTTCAA